CGGTATCAACTCCCCCCTTTTCACCCTCCCCTACTGTACGTCGTTTGCCCTCCCGCTCGCCTAGTTCTGTGTCCCCCCCTTTCGCTCTCGCACCCCTTCGTCGTCCTCACGCTAGCTATCCCCCCCTTCCCATCTCACTCGCGCCCGCATGGTCTCCCCCCTCTCGCTCACTCGTCAGTTCTCGTTGCATCCCCGGTCCACAGAGCTGAAGGCTCGCCCAGAACCACTTCCCACGTCCTCTCGTCCTCCCCACCCCCCCGTTTTGCATACCCCGCTTCCACACTCCCGCCCACATCTGCATATGTCGCACGCAACGAAGGACGAGTCTGTCGTCGATGTCCATGGGTCGCGGTCGCCGCACGTGAGAGCGAGACTTGGTCGCGGCCGTGCGCACGAGTTGTCCGCCACCGCGCGGCCACCTCAGACAGGCTCTCTCCCCTCGCCCGCTCTCCCACCCCCCGTCTGACGCGCCTGCCACTGTCGCGCTCACTGTACGTGCTTTGCTCTCGAGGCTTCGCGCGATGTCGTCCAGGCGGGCGCGCAGCCGCGAGGGAGAAGCAGGCCCGACGTCCTCATCGCCGAGCCTACGCGACGTCGACGGTGGAACGGAAGCAGGGGCTCCCTGCCATGCGGGAGACCACGCACGGCGACGAGCTCGCTCTTGTGGCCGCGACTGCGCGCCATTCGGCCGAGCAGCCGCATCCAACTGCACGGCCCCGAGTCGTCGCCCCGAGCACAAGTCGCGAGACGCTCTCTTCCCCAGTTTCGACCGCTCGGGACCGCTCGCGTGCGGAGCACCCCCTTTGTCGGGCACGCAGGCCGACCGCGCCCTGCGGGAACCTCAACGACGGAGCGAAGAAGGCCGCCGGGTGTGCGCCGGCTCGGGTCTCTCCCCTCATCTTCTCCAGCTTCGCCTTTACTTGGCACATGCCGAGCGCAATCTGATCACACAGTCGCAAGCTGTGCGGTCCACGATCTCGCTCTCGCGCCGCCTGCCCGCCCGGTCTCTCCCTCTGCTCGAAGAGCCCGCGCTCCTCTCGCTCTTGTTTTCCTCGCTCTCGTTTCGCCGACTGCTTTTCAATCCTTGCTCAGTGGAGCGCCCTCCCTCTCGTCGGTCGACCTTTCTCCATCTTACCCTGCCCCTGATCGCAAGACTCAGCCATGGCTTCGACGGCTTACCCGCAAGCCGTCTCCTCCGGCGCCGACCTCGAGGCGCACTCTGACCACGACGAGAAGGCGCCGTCCTCGACTGCCGGCTCAATTCACTCGCCAGACTACAACACCAGGGATGTGCACAAGACGAACGGTGTCGCGCAGATGGAGGCCATCTCGGCGGCAGCTCACGCCGGCGACGACTCGGGGCGGTGGATGCTGTACGGCATCGCCCTGTCCATGTTCATCATGTACTGGGCGTACTGCCAGGCGGGCTCGACGTCGTACTCGTTCGCGGCGCTCGCGTCGAGTTCGTTCGCGAGTCACTCGACGGGCATCTCGGCGACCAACATTGCGACGGGCATCATCTCGTCCGTATGCACGCCCTGTGCATCTCGCTCTCCCTCCCTGTCCTCGACTGTCCGCTTCATGAGCTGACGCACACCGGCTCACGGCGGTCGCCCTCGGCGCGCGCCCTCATAGTCCTTGCCAAGATCGCCGACGTCTTCTCTCGCCCGTGGCTCCTCGTCGTCTCGATGCTCTCCTACGTCGTCGGTTTTGTCATTATCCTCGAGGTGCGTGCGCGCGATCACCACCTTACTCGAGGAGGAGAATGAGGGTACAAGCGCTCGAGGCGATGCGGTCTCGCATTGCCGAGCCCTCGCCTCCTTGTCCGCCGCTCTGAGCGCCCGCGCGCCTGACTGACTCTTTCTCTCGTATCGTTCGCCACAGTCGCCTACGCTCGCGGCGTACGTCGTCGGACAGGTCTTCGCGTCCATTGGCGGCGCGGGTCTCTCGCTCCTCTCGACGATCCTCGCCGCCGACTCCTGCCCGCTCCAGTGGCGTGGTCTCGCACAGGGCATCCTGTCGTCACCCTACATCGTCACGCCGTGGTACACGTCATACATCGTCAGCAACCTGAGCACTGGCGACGGCTGTGCGTCCACTTTCTCCGCGACAGGTCGACCTGGCTCCTCCTCCCGCGTGCTGACCCCGGTTCTTTCTCTCCGTTGTCGTCGACAGGGCGATGGGGTCTCGGCATGTATGCCATCATTTTCCCCGTCGTCATGCTCCCCGCCATCGTCTTTCTCTTCTGGCTCCAGCGCAAGGCACACAAGATGGGCATCGTCATGGTCGCCTCCTCGGGCGACGCCATCAAGGACGCCAAGCTCGCTGCCGAGAAGAACGGCGAGCGCGTCTGCCAGCCAGGGTTCGACAACACGATGCTCGCCGTCAAGCCGCAGATGGGCCTCGGCCCGCGCATCTGGCTCGCCCTTGCGGAGCTTGACGCCTTTGGGTTGCTCCTGCTCGGCGCTGGCTGGTCGCTCGTGCGTAATCTCTCCTCTTTGTTCCAGACCCAACCCTACGGCTTTGCGCGCACGGCGGGCGGCGTCAACACCGATGCTTGCGAAGCCGTCGAGGCCAACGACCCCTCGCCCGTCACGCACGCAGTTCCTCCTCCCCTTCTCGCTCAGCTCGTCGGCCAAGGGCGGCTACGACAACCCGTCTCTCATCGCCATGTTCGTCCTCGGGCCCCTCTTCCTCGTGGCCTACACCGTCTACGAGTGGAAGTGGGCGCGCTTCCCGTCGTCGCCGATCCGACTCGTCAAGAACCGCACGTTCGCGACGGCCGTCATCATTGACTTCATCTACATGGTGGCCGGCTACCTGCAGCTCAACTACCTGTCCTCGTGCGTCGCTTTGCGCTCTTACGGACTCCTCCTTGCTCTCTTCTCAAGCGGCTGACCCACCTGGTGCTCTCCCTCGTGCGCACCACGCAGATACGTCTACGTCGTCACTGACTACTCGGCCAAGGAATGGAACTGTGCGTCGTCGATCGTGCGGCTGCCTTCGTGGCTCCTCGGCTGACCTTCCCAATCTCTCGCGCCTGTCCCTCCCTTTGCTTTCCACCGCCCGCAGACTTCAACAACACTCTGACGGTCGCTCTCTGCTTCGGAGGCGTCATTGCCGGGGTCATCCAGCGCATCACACATCGGTACAAGTTCCTCCAGTTCTTTGGCCTCGCGCTCAAGATTGTCGGCTACGGCCTTCTGGTGGACCCCAATGGCGTGCACGACACGGCCCGCCTCGTCATGTCGCAGGTCTTTACCGTGCGTACTTCGCCTTTGCTTGCAGCTGGGTGTTGGCGCTCACGCTCGTCACGAACGTTGCAGGGCATCGGCGGGTCCTTCTCGGTCGTCGGTTCGCAGGTGGGCTCGCAGGCGTCCGTGCCGCACCAGGACGTGGCTCTCGCCATTGCAGTGCTCGGCCTCTGGTCGTCTGTCGGCGCTGGCATCGGCGAGGCAGTCGCTGCCGCAGTCTGGAACGCGCGCATGCCGGGCAACCTCCGCTCGCACATTCCACTCTCGGCGGCCAACGACACCGAGATCGCACTCCTCTTCGGCGACAGTACGCTCTTGTCGCTCGCGGCGGATCGTGCGCCGGACCAAGCTGACGCGCCTCGCGCGCCGCAGTCACCGCGATCAAAGCGTACGACTACGACTCGCCTCTCCGTCAGGGTGCGATCAAGGCCTACGAGTGCGCACGCCTTCCTCTTTCTCTGTGTTCGCCCCTGTACTGATGGAACTCGTGGCGCCTCGCAGGTCGACTGTCTACCCGCTGTGGGCCGCCGCGCTCGGCCTCTCGTTCATCGCTCTCATCGCCGCCTGCTTCCAGAGTGCGTACCGTCTTCTGTTCTCTCTCTCTCTCTCTCTGTTGGTCCTTCTGACCAGCTCTGCGCAACTACAGGCAATTTTTACCTCGGCGAGGCGCAGAACGCGTGGGACAACAAGGACACGGTGCGTCGTCACGCTCCTCTCTCTCGCTGCCCCTCCTTGAACCTTGCTTGACTCGGCTCTGCTCCTGTCCACAGGCGGGCAACGTTGTCCAGAACGAGCCCGACCGCTTCGTTAGCGCGACGGGCTGGCGCCGTGTCCTGCGCTTCTGGGACCTGTGAGCGTCGCCGACCAAGTGCGCGCTCACGGGTGGGTGGCTCGGTGGCCATTCCTAGGCGCGAATTGCTCACTTCTTGTAGAGCAGGGTGCAGAACATTGTGGGGCATCATCACTAGGCGGGCAGAAGAACAAGCGGCCAGCGCTGCGGGACCACTGGCACGAGCCTGAGTCGGTTTCGAGGCGAGCCACCATGTTGGAACCCTTGCAGGCATGCAAGGCGCGCAGACTCACGACTGCTGAGAGCCACTGGAGCCAACGCTGACCTGGGCGAGCTACGAGAAGAGACAGCGGTCTGCGCTGGTCAGAGGAGAAGGCGAGCAAGGGAGCTTTCGGCTGGGTTCGCACTCGAAGGGTGAACTTGAGTCAAACGCCCGGAAGCCGTCAGCGCAGCGGGTATACATTGACTGCACGTTTTTTGCGGAAAAGGAAGAGGACGAGACGGGTCTCGGGATCTCGGTGTCGCTCACATCGACGAGTCGGGCGACGTTCGCGTTTGCGTTCGCGACCGACGACGTTGCCCCGGCTGGCGGTTCCGTCACTGCAAGGCTTCTCCGCTGCCGCCTTCTGCTTCACGGCGTGGAGCTTGTCTCGTCAGACGCACGAGTACGCGCTGACACCCTAAGCGTGGCCACACTAGCGACCTCGAGGGTCTGTGCGCCGCTGCCTGCTCTCTCACCTGTGCAGGCACCTCTTCGCGCGAGCCGTCGCAGCGCGCAGGCGTTGGATTCGAGATGCAGAGATTGAGAAAAGCGGCGAGATAGAGGGGAAAGACCGGGAGCAGCGACGGGTGGGGAGCGGGCCAGGCGACTCGAAACCGGCCTCTGACTGCACGTGGCCTGCCCCTCATGCTGAGTACGATGTGTTTTGCGGGTGGCAAGCCGGAACGCAAGCAAAGGCGAGATAGTATAATGGCTAGTACACTCGGTTCTGATTACCCTGGTCGCTTTCCGAAGCCCCGAGCAACCACTTCCGAGCAATCTGGGTTCGATCCCCAGTCACGCCTACCCTTTTGCCGTCCGCGCCATCTCCCTTGGCCACAAACGCGCTCTGTAGCAAGTCCCCTTTTGCCCGCGCGCACAAGTAAGTCCGTGCGCCCGCTTCTGCCATTCCCTCTCTGAGCCTGAAGTGGCGGCCTCGGAACGCTGCCGCACTCAGCTGCAGGCGCGCTCCGCAGCTTGTGGTGGGCCCGCCTGGCGCCCTTGCCCTTCCGGACAGGTGTTCAGACAGTGTTACGCACCTGTTTGCGTCAGTAAGTCCAAAGCCGTACTAAATGTCACATAAACGCCTTTCACTCATCGAGCTCGGTTGATCTAGTTGGTTATGATGTGGACCTAATACGACCTCGCGTTTAGTCCAATGTCGGCGGTTCGATCCCGCCACTGAGCAAGTTATTCTTTTGCCCCGGCTCGACCGGGGGCAATCCTTTTGCTTTGCTTCGGCGCCCGTGCTGCCCCTTGCTACCTACCCACGGGCTCGAGAGCTGCCCCGCAGACGCAGCGAGAAGCGACGAACCAGACGAGACGGCGTGCCATACTCTCGAGCGAGCACAAACGAGGGGAGTTGCGATGGTTGAGTTGCAGCTCTGCTCCCTTGTTGGCCCCCCTTCGCGCCTACTCGAGCGTCGCAGCCGCGTTGACGGGCTTCTTGGTCGGCGCCTCCTTGGCCACCTCCTCAAGGAAGTGCTCGTCCGGGAGCGCGAGGGCCGCCTCTGCCCGCGAGACGAGGTCAAAGCCCTCGTCCTCCTCCGACGCCTCGAGGTCCTCTGCCTCTGCAGGTAGGTAGGTGCACGCGAAGAGCCACACGTCAGCGAGATTGATCCTGACGTGACAGGGGGCAGAGGACAGCGAGACGCACCGTCGCCGTAGATGTCCGGGTGGCGGCGGAAGCACTCCTGCATGCCGCGGAACTTTTCGACGCAGTCGATGCCCTTGGGCTCGGCCTCGGAGTAGACAAAGCACGAGAAGGCCGCCTTGAACTCTTCGCCGCAGGGCCCGTCGGCCATGCCGCCGAGGCAGGGGCAGTCCCAGTTGATCTCGCCCGTTTCCGGGTTGAAGGCGGCCTGTTGGGAGGCCGGGTCGGCGGGGTCGGCAGAGGAGGGGGAGGAAGAGGAGGAGGATGATGGGGTGGAAGGGGCCGGAGACTCTGCTGCGGGGGCGACGGCGGGGGTGATGGACTGGACCGCTTCATTGACGGTCTCGGTGATGGAACCTGCGAGGGCGGAAGGAGGGAGAGGGGGAGGGGCGCGGCAAGGTCAGCGATCTTGCCTGCCAGAGGTGCGTCGTGCAGACCAGGAGCACGGATGCGGTTGCGCCGGCGCGGTCGCTCACCCGGAGGCAAGGCAAGCCGCCCGGCAAGATGGAGAGAGGTCAGAGGCCGGAGAGATGAAGAGGGGACGAGGCTCACTGTGGTGGTGACCGTCCTTGTCCTTTTGCGCGCGCTTGCCGTTCTTGCCGCCGACGGTGAGGATGGCAGCGGTCCAGCCAAACAAGGCAGCGAGGCCCAGCGAGGCGTACAAGACCGGGTTGGTCGTCTGCGACTGGTAGACGGCGAACCGGCGCTGGGTGGTCCCCGTCGACATGGACCGCAGCTGCGGCTGGACGGAGGGCCTTGCGAGGCCTCGAGGCAAGGTACGGAGTGGCGCGCGGAGCATCGTGAGGCGGTGACCGACAGTGGGGGGAAGGCGAGAGGCTGAGGTGAGCCGGCAGCGGCGTCGCCTCGGAGGTGCGCGGTGGCCAGCTCGTCTCAAGCGAGACCTCCCGCCTCGCCCAGCATTTCCCGGCCCAGAACAATCTAGCACTGCCACAGAGCGATTGCAACGCGCAGCTAGTCCCCCTCCCCGACCCCCACCTCAGAACCGGAACTTCTCCTTGGAAGACCCTCCTCCTCCTCCCTCGCGCTTCTTGTTCTCAGCCATCTTGCGCCTCTTGGCCACCTCGGCCGCCGCAAAGTCGCTAAAGTCCTCGTGCGTCCCGCCACCCGCCCGCCCCGCGCGGTTCGCCTGCTCGTACCGCGCGCGGAGGTCGGCCTCGCTCAGGCCCTCGAGCTCGCCCGCGTCGAGCGCCACGTCGACCCCGCCGGCCTTGCGCTTGGTGCCGCGCTCCTCCTGCCCGAGCACAGGCGGCGCCACCCCACCCGCACCCGCACCCGCGCCGGCACCGCCGCCGAGCGCCGACACGTCGTACACGCGGTCCGAGCCCATGAAGCCGCGCATGCGGCTCTCGCGCTCCGGCAGGACCTGGTAGAGCTCCCTCGGGCCCGACGCGTCGGCCGCGTCCGGCTCGGTCTCGTCGCGGCGTTTGCGCAGCTCGAGAAAGTCGGGCGTCTCGAGGCCGCCGGGCACGGTCGACGTGACGGACGCGAGGCCCGAGGGGGTCTCGAGTCCCGAGGGGGTCTGCAGGCCGTCTTGAGGCGCAGCCTCGCCGTCGTCCTCGTCCTCGTCCTCGTCTTCCGACTCGTCCTCCGAGACTGCAGGCACATGCGGAGTCAGCCGCTGAGAACGCGCGAGACGGACAACGTAGAGACGACGACGCACCCTCCTCGTCCGGCTCGAGCTCGCCCCACGGCTCCTTGACAATGGGCTCTCCGACCTGCGCGTCTGCCGCATTCGGCGCGACGCCGTAGATGTCGCCGTACAGCGGTCGGCCATAGTCGTCCAACGGCGGCTTGCCCCAACCGCCAGGGTGGAATCCCCACGCCGCGCTGCAGCGGTTCCTCGGCCGAGGTCAGCACAAGCCGGGGCGTGATGGTCAAGAGAAGAGAAGGGGAGACGACGCACCCTTCGGGGATCGGCGCATTGAGTCCCGGGATGCGCAGGTTGGGGTAGCTGGGCGGCGGACCGTACCGCTGCATGCTGATAAGCCAGGGCGGGGGCGCGAGGGGCGGGATCGACAGCGCCTCCTTTAGCTCATCCGACAGGTCGCCCGGTCGCTTCTCCTTGAGCTTCGTCTCATACTCCTTGCCCTCGTAGTAGCTGCTCTCGCAGGCAGGCAGGGTTCGTCAGAACGAGCGAGCTTTGACGAGGGAAGGAGGAGGCACGCCGCACACTTCGCCAAACTCGGTCATTTTGGGCTTGGTCTGGTACTTGAAGAAGGCGTCGTGAAGCTTCTGGTAGTCGATGTCGATCTTGCCCATCTTTGGCTGGACGCGCTCGCGCGTCTTCTGCTTGAGCGACTGCTGGTCCTCCTTCTCCTTGACCGCGTCGCGCTGCGTCGCGATGCCCGTGTCGGCGATGAAGCCTACATGCGTGGGCAGAACGAGAGGGTGAGTCGGCGCAGCTCTGACAAAGAGGAAAGCAAGAGGGACAAAAGACGCACTCGGGAGCTGGTACGGCGGCTTCTCGATGCCGCGCTTGCCCGCGAGGTAAGCGCTCTTCTGACTCCAGTGCTGCGGGATCGGGACCGTGTTGCGGTGGCTCTTGATCTCGACGAGCAGGCGCGGGTCACTCGCCGAGACGTCGACCCAGTCGACCACCTCTGGCTTCTTGACGAGGCGCTTGAGCTCGGCGACGCTGAGGCGGTTCAGCTTGCGCTGCTTGCGCTTGGACATCTCGCCCGCGTCTTCGTCGTCCTCGGAGGGCAGCTCGTCGTCAGAGTAGATGACCTGGCCCTTTTCGTCGACCGCGTCCTGGCCGTTGTCGCCCTGCGCGTGCCAGCGAGCCCAGTCAGCAAGCGCAGGAGATACACCGCCAGAGGGCCGCAGAATGACGCACCGTTTGGCCCTGTCCAGGGAGCTGGAAGTGGGCAAAGACCTGGGCAAAGGCCTCTGGCACCGCACCCGGGCCGTCCTCGAGCTTGACCTTGGGGTCTTCGTCGGACGCGGTCGGCTCCTGTGCGATGGCAATAGAGGGTTGGTGTTAATTGAATCGGCGCGGCTCACGCAGCCCTCGAGCAAGCGACGAGAGGAGACGCACGACAGTGGGAGCCCTCTCGCGCGGGCGATCATCGACGGGGTGCTGCTCGGCGGCCGAAGAAGGTTGCTTGCCCTTTGCCTTCTTCTTCAAGCGCTTGAGCTGACCCCGCGACTTGTTGGCGGTCGAGATGGCGGGCTGGGCGGAGCCGTTGATGGCGGGGGACGAGGATGAGTCGGGGGCCACCATGCCTCGGGGCGAAGCGCGCGCGGGCTGAGGGCTGTTGGTCGGTGGGGTGGACTGGGATGTGAGGGAGCGAGGCGCAGCAAGTGCACTGCGAGGCTAGCGAGGCGCGAGTGAGGTGGAGACGGCCAACCCCGCCGCTCGTCGTTCCCCTTGCGACCCTCGCCTCCGTCCACGCGCGCGCGGGCTCTCGCCAAACTCGCTGTGCGAACAGGTCAAAGTACGGGAGCAACAGCCGCAACCTGATAGTACAACACTGCGTGCGAGAATGCAAAGTCCACCCTCCCTCCTGCCCCCATGGCTGCCGTCCCTCGGCGCTTCGCGCGCAAGCGGACGCCCGATCCCGTCCCCCCACTCAGCCCGCCCGCTTGGCCGTGTTGACAAAGCCCGTCCCGACGCAGCTCAGGACATACTCCTCCGGCGGCGGTGCCCGCGCCGCGCCGCTCGCCATCTCGGCGTCCTCGTCGTCGTCGCCCTCCTTCGCGCCCGCCGCCGCCGCCGTCCGGACCGCGTCCTTGATCTTGAACGTCGTGCCGAAGAAGGCCTTGAGGTCCCGGAGGTGCTCGACCCTGCGCGCGTGCCCCGCTGTCAGTTCGTGCGTTTCAGAGAGAGAAAAGAGCAGGAGAGCGACGCACAGGAACGCCTCGAACGGTCCAGCGACGACGACGCGCCCGACGTCCTCCCCACCGAGGACCAGCATGGTCGTGACGAGCCACTCCCACCCGCGGTCGACGCAGCCGCCGCGGCGCACCTCGTCGAGGAGGAGCCGCGCGGCCGCGATGCCGAGGTCCTCGGGGACGGGCGGGTGCGCGGGCTCGGCTGCGGCGGCGGAGGAGGAGGAGGACGAGGCAGGTGGAGGGCAGGAGGTGGCTTCGGCAGAGTGCAGGACGTGCGACGTCGACGAGGCGACGAGC